GGAGGGGAGGAGGACCTCTTAACCTGTGTCGCTTCCTCCTGTATGCACAAACAGAAAACACACCACATATATAAAGTTTTGCACAGTGCATGGGCAAAAGAAGCCTCGTGGCGTGGCGTTGCGTTGCAAAGCAAGCATCATCATCATCTCCATCCTTCCCATGCAGCCTTCAGGTGCAGCACTACCTGCTGTGTTTACGTCAGAGCGAGCCACCAGAAGACACATGAATGCACGTGCATTTTACCTGGTTCTCGGACGCTGTTGCATTCAGTTTGGGTATTTTGCTGCCAGCGGCCGCTGTGGGCTTCCTTCCCCTTGGAAAAGGCATGGCTCTCTCCCTGACGGTTTCTTCCTAAAAACAAAGCTCTGCAGCCGCTGCTCCGTGTTCTGCTACAGCAAAGAAAAGCACGCAAAAATAGCGGGATGATTAAAAGGAAACAGTAAAAGAAAAACAAACAGATTTAAAATTGTTTTGAGATAACGTATATGGCTAAACATCACATGCAGAAACCCTGGTATTAAAGCTTTACGCTAAGAGGGCGGAGTTTCTCAGGTGAATCGGTTGTGTACTAAAATTTTAAAAAATAGAACGCCAAAATGGCGCAGATAAATTTGTTTATCCTACCTTATGGTATAAAACTTTCTTCTTTAGTCCGGTGACTTGTTTTAGAGAAGCAAAAATGCATATAGTTTGGGTTAATAATCCGATTCAACTGTGTTGTTACTAAGACGAGAGCTCAAACAAAAGTGGTTCAGCCGAGGATCAAATCTGCTGCGCTTCGCTCTCATTGGATAGAATTTGAGTCTGGCGGACCAATCAGGACGTCGCTAAGGATGCAGTTGCCAAGGAGCGCTGGTTTTATGTTAACAGCTACGCCCGGTGCGTCGACGGATACAATTTCAAAATAAAAGAGTTAAAAAGATCATTGATTGTTTAAAAAGAACAGGCTCTATTTTATAATTTAACTAAGGTTTATTTTTAAAATTGGTATTTTCCTATTTAATTAAGGAAGCAAAACTTACGGTTAGGAGTTTAAACAACTACAGCTTCTGTGCCGCTCACAATATCAAGCAAACTCCAAAGGAGGAGCTTTCGCTATTTTCAAACCACCAAGCAACCAATAGGAGTTTTAAGCATCGAGGCTTGTATTTTATTGACATTCATATGGTTGAAACACGCTTTTGATCTTGAATTTGTACGCTAGTGCATATACTCAACACACATATATACACACATACCATTTAATATTCAATATTTGTTTTAATTCAAAACATCTTTCTACTATAATACTGCTGGGGTAGCTGTGAATCAGGAAGTATACTGAACACCATGTTGCTCTTTGATCCCTTCATTGGAATATGAATGTGTATAACTATTAGAGAGAAAGCACTTAAGCAGAAGAATAATTTGTATGAATGGGTGTAAATGAGTAAATGAGGCATGTTGAATAAAGTGCTTTGAAAGTATGATAACCTGTATAAGAACCAGTCCATTTACCATAACAGATTAAGGCCAGTGTTATGCATTTATGTCATGTAGCTGAGCAAAGGATGCTGAGCACATTTATATTTCAACTTTAAGTGCTCAAATTTTGATGTGTTGGAAGGCAAACATGAAATCTAAACTTACAAATAAACTAAGCCATGAAAGAAAAGTAGAAAGAAAAGTAGAAGTGTTATTAAATAAGTAGAAACCTATAAATCTTTATTGCCTATGAATGATGTGTGGGTGGGCAAGCTGGAGGTAGTAGTGCTAAATATGTTAAGATTTAAACTGGGAGTTACCAGAATGGACAAGATTTGAAATAACTATGTCAGAGTGACAGCTCAGGATGGAGACTAGAGGCTAGGCTGAAATGGTTTGGACATGTGCAGAGGGGGGCAGTGGATATACTGGCCAAAGGATGTTGAAAATGGAGCTGCCAGGCACGAGAAAAAGAGGAAGACCACAGAAGAGATTAATGGATGGAGAGAAGGAGGAAATGCAGAGGACTGGTGTGACAGAGGAGCATGCTATTGATAGGGTGAGATGAATACAGATGATCTGTTGTGGTGACCCCTAAAGAAAGCTGCTGGGAAAAAAAGAAGAAGATTGGTTTAGTTTTAGTACAAAAATAGTTTTAGTTTAAAACTCGACAGCTGTCTGAATTTGCATCCTGAGAGAGAGAAGCTTTGAACTGGCTGCATTATAGAGTCACTGACATTGTGTTCCACATAGGCTGGCCCGGTGCTCTTCAGGAATCTGTTTCTGTGGTTTAAAAGATGCTCACAGACAAACATGAACTTGTTCAGAAACATTGTGCAAAATTGTGACATTTCTGTATCTAACTAAAACTGGTTGTGTAACACTAACAGGTTTTGGCAGCTCATAGCTACACAGCAGTCCTATAAATGTTCTTTTCCCTGCTTATATTTTTCAGGTTTTCAGATTTTCTGTGTGTCAGACACCTCTGGCATTTGTATGATTTTTAAAATGGGCAGCCACACAAGATCGAAACGACCCTTTAAATTTATTTAAATCATCGTTTTGAGCAATGACCTCACTGACGCAGAGAAAAGTATTTCCTGGATTGGAGGGGAAAGAGCACAGAGGGCCTTCTGGGGCTCACAACACAGCGTTACTGCAGTAACAGCATGGGTAATAGAGTCACAGGACTGTGGATTAAATGGGTTCAGGATGGACAGTGGGAGTAGCTGGCAGCTAACATCCACCCACACCCCAGGAGTTGGGAGGGTGTCATCTATGATTCTTTTCTGAATAATGGGAATTGAGGCCATAAAGTGTATCTAAGAGAACAAAATAAACTCATTTCTAACCAGGGGACCTCAGCCACGTCATCCTCAAATCCACCCTCTGATCACATCATTACATATCTCCGGACACCCTCATCACCACCAAACTGAACAAACATTCCTCGGTTTTCATTTCAACGCCAAAGCCAAGCACACAAGGGAGCAGATTCAACAAAATTTTTAAAAAGGCCAAACAAGTCCCTCGGCTTCACCCGTTTAAACATTTCCCCCCATGCTTTCAGTTTATTTGAACAGGACACACTAAAGCAGCTACAAGACCTGCAGTTCAAACATGGAATTTGGTGTCTAATGAAGTCAACAGAGAGATATCATCTCACGACACAGTTTTTATTTCATCTCCTCTCCATGCTGTCCTCCTTCCAAGACGAAAAGTCTTCCAGATTGCTTCCATCGGAGCTTGGAGGAGTAGTTTGTATGATTCTGAGGATTTGGTTAGAGCTGCAAAGAAAAGAGTGGAGTTTCAATGTTAAATTCAGGGTCATGGAGGTAGTATATCACATAATATTATTCAAAAGTGAACAGACTGTGGGCTCAGTTCCAGTGGTTGGATGTACAAATTCAGGCACTTGGACCCTCTTTTTATGATTTGTCATGTTCTTTCTATGCAATGGAAAATATTGCAGTGCTTATTGCTCATTAAAAAATGGATGGTTTCCTCACGTCTCCAACTAATATTTATCATATACACAACACATTTATTAGACTACCCCCCAATGTAATGTTCATACATTAAAAATTAACAGCATTTATATGTTTCTCTAATAGGTAATTCACCAGTATGTGCAAGCTATTTAATCAAAGTGATATTTTTAAGGCTAAAGTGTCTGGATTTTTACTTGTTACAGATTAGCTTCACATAAAGGCTCTGAATTTTTCCATCACCAGTAAAATCATCTGTGTCTTTTATCTGCTGTTTGCCCAGACCAGGGGTGCCCAATCCCAGTCCTCGAGAGCTACCGTCCTGCAGCTTTTAGATGCATCCTTGTTCCCA